AGAGATTGCCTAGCTTAATAGTTATATATTATACCCCGATTATACACTAGCTCCAATTTGTCCTCAAGATTTTCTTGGTTTTCAGAATTCTCTTCATTTTTATCTTCACTTTCATATTCATTTACTGAAAGACGTTGATTTTGAAAAAAAATTCTATACGCTATCAGATATTACATTGTACGTTTATAATAGAATTCTTTACACTTTTGTACATAGATTTTGTAAAATGTTAGGGATGTTTTGAAATAAAAGCTAAGTTTGAATATGCTGTTTTTCTAAAGCTTTAAGTAAGAAAGGGCTTAGAATTTTTCCTCAAAAGTTCAAGATCAAAAAATATTTTTAGTTTTGCTTCAATGTCTTTTTGAATTTTTTTTAACATTTTAGTTCAAAACACTGGTAATCACATTGTTGATCAAGAACAAGATTATTTTAAAATTTATACAAAACAATTTGTTGTAGATCTGTTAGCGTGACGTTAAAATTTCCGTTTACAGCCCAAATTTGCCCTCATTTTGAAAAAAAATTCTATAAACTTTTAAACTTTACTTTAAGTTTATAATTTTACGACACCTGCTTACAAAACATAAATTAAAATTTTCAATAAATCTTTAAAAAAAATGTGCCAAAACAGTCAGACAGCTTAGCAAAAACTTCCATTTTTTCATTAAAAAAAGTTGTGCGTTTAACCTTTAGTTGCGTTAATCTTGAATATTGCATTAATCTTAAATTTAGTTTAATTAATCAATTAAATTGAACAATTGATCTATCCAATTCAATAAATTGGACTTATTTTTAAATCTTTGTACGAGTTGAGCTTTAAATAGTATTTTAAGTCCAATTCAATTGATCTAATCTGTTCAACTCAATTCATTGTTCTATAAAGTCAATTTAATTGATCCTTAATTTTCAAACAAATGAAATGTAAAAGGATTGTTGAATTTTAAACATAGTTCTGCAAGAAAAAAAATGGAAGGGATTTTGAATTGTTGCATGAGTTGAATTGTTGCACGCTTTAAATTCAATTTTAAGTTAAGTTCAATTGATCTATTAAATTATTTGGTTTATAAAATCCATTTAATTGATACTCAAATTCAATTCTGATGATTCTAAAATTCCATATTTTTGATTCTTAATCAAATAAAATGTAAAAGGGTTATTTAATAACGTTTTGACTTAATCAGCAGTTTTGAAGAATTTTTTGGATCAAAATAAAGTCGGGAGGACTATAAAACAGTTTTTAATATCGTTGAAAGTTACATAAATTTAAATATTTTAGTTAATTAAATTCATTTGAAGTAAATAACAAACAAAATCTATGATCTCTGTTAAAAAAATTCGTAGACAAACGTAATAAAATTATCTCAGTTCTTTTTTTCCATTATGATGTGAAATAAGTGTGCTATTTTGTGACATAAGCCTGAAAATTATCTAGAACTTTCCATCTTCCATTGTCATGGTAACATTAATTTTGCTTACACCATTCTAAGAATAGAAATCTCTTAACTCCATTGATATAATTCATTTTCTCACTTATGCAATCGGGTTTTATGACCTTTTAAAAGAGTACCGGAGTTTTATAACTTTCCATAGTGGTTGAGAAATGGTCAAGCAAAGCAAAATTCATGCCGCTGTAGCCAACCTTGGCGTTTCAGTTGTATCATTTTTATGTGCAATTGCGTAGGAATCACAAATGTCTGCACTTCATGATTCACGGGTCATTAAAATTAAGTTCATATAGGGTTTTATTTGAATAAGCGAGTCTCGGTTTTCGTAAGAACATTTCATAAACAATAGAATAAGAGCAATAAACCGTGGATTAAATTTATTATTCTACTTTAGTTGCTTTCAAAGTAAAAATATTTTACTACTCTAAATTTTTTTAAATAGTTGAAAAAATATAAATTAAATAGAATCGAAATTTAACGAAACAAAAATAGAAAAATAAGACAAACAAAGTTGTAAGAAGCAATTACAGGTATATTTTTAAAAAAATTTATCCTCTGCGCTATACTACAATAGAAACAGAAAAAAGACAAACAAATAAAGTTGTCAGAAATAATTACAAAAACATTTTTACAAAATTCCTTTTTCCACTGCTTTACCCCAAATTATAGATTTTTAAGCTTTTATATTTATTTATAAGCAGATGCACTGAGTAGCCCATAATCCGATTCACTGATTTCCAAATTCGCCATTTTACTGTTTTACCAATTTCATCATTCATTGATTCGCATCATTTTCACCCTTGAATCATTCCTTCACTCACTCATTTAATCATTTAGTCTAAATGAAGACATCATTTGGCAATCCAAAAGAAATATATATATATTTTCATCATTCATATACCGTTAAAATAACCACTAAAATAATGAAAAAGTACACTAATAGCAAAATATAACAAACGCAACTAGCATTTGCGTATTATTCCTAGTCATATCAAGAGTCATTTTCACAACGAAAGGTCGGCAGCCATTTTCCAACTAGCCAGAGTGCTCATATTTTACCAAAAGCTCTGTGCTAAAAAACAATACAAATTTAATACATTTTATGAAAATACTTGAGGCTTCATTTTATTACACGATTGCTTAAATTAAAACTTTTCTAACTATATAAAGTCTTGTGTGCTTCGCAATAAGACTTAATTTGAACAACAAACATGGCAGATTCTGAGTAAAAAATTTATTTTTTAAAACCTAGAAGCTCCGTTCCGCGCTCGCTCCAATTACCAAACCCCGTGATTGCTTCTCATTCATCACTGTTTTTTTTCTATTCTTAAAATATCAATATATTTTTTTTTCTAAAAAAAAGATCATATTGTTTAAAAATATATATAACTACTAGT